ACCTGACCCCGCCGATCTGCGTGCGGGGTGCCACCGAATTTCAGACATGTAGCAAATCCCTTGTGTTTTTCCCGGAAAGGGCGTGGGCCCAGGGTTCTCTTTTAGTGGGTAAACTTGTCCCCCGGTGCCAACTTGAAGGAGGCCGGCGGATTTTTTCCCTGATAAATATCGAGGTCGAAGGAGGCCGGCGGATTAAAATTTGAGGATGTCTCGAGCGAAACGCTTGTTTTTGAAATCCCGATCGATAAATCACAGGGTGCGGGCCACTTTTTCGTGTGTTGAGGATGTCTCGAGCGAAACGCTTGCTCCGCAGAGTTTGCCGAGGATGTCTCGAGCGAAACGCTTGTTTTGCAGAGCCGACCGCGACGCGGAAAAGCGCCCCGCGCGAAGGAATTTCGATGATGTCTCGACTAATTCCTTTGTTTTTGTACGATTTCCTGGAATTTTGGCAGGATGTCTCGAGCGAAATGCACGACCCCACCCTAGCACGACCATACCCCAGCACGACCACACCCCAGCACGACCAGACCCCAGCACGACCCCACCCCAGCACGACCCCACCCCAGCACGACCATACCCCAGCACGACCACACCCCAGCACGACCCGACCCCAGCACGACCCTACCCCAGCAAGACCACACCCCAGCACGACCACACCCCAGCACGACCTCACCACAGCACGACCACACCCCAGCACCACGACGCCCCAGCACGACCACGCCCCAGCACGACCACGCCCCAGCACGACCACCCCCAGCACGAACCACCCCCCCAGCACGACCACCCCCCCCAGCACGACCACACCCAGCACGACCACACCAGCACGACACCGCCCCAGCCCACACCCCAGCCGACCACACCCAGCACGACCACACCCCCAGCACCGCACCACACCCCAGCACGACCCGATCGATAAATCACAGGGGCGGAGCACCCCAGCACGAACCCACCCCAGCACGACCCCACCCCGCACGACCCCACCCCAGCACGACCACGCCCCAGCATGACACCACCCCAGCACGACCACACCCCAGCACGACCACTGCACGACCACACCCCAGCACGACCCCACCCCAGCACGACCCCACCCCAGCACGACCACGCCCCAGCACGACCACACCCCAGCACGACCCCACCCCACCACGACCCCACCCAGCAAGACCACACCCCAGCACGACCACACCCCAGCACGACCTCACCACAGCACGACCACACCCCAGCACGACCACGCCCCAGCACGACCACGCCCCAGCACGACCACGCCCCAGCACGACCCTACCCCAGCAAGACCACACCCCAGCACGACCACACCCCAGCACGACCTCACCACAGCACGACCACACCCCAGCACGACCACGCCCCAGCACGACCACGCCCCAGCACGACCACGCCCCAGCACGACCACGCCCCAGCACGACCACGCCACAGCACGACCACACCCCAGCACGACCCCACCCTAGCAAGACCACACCCCAGCACGACCACACCCCAGCACGACCTCACCACAGCACGACCACACCCCAGCACGACCACGCCCCAGCACGACCACGCCCCAGCACGACCACGCCCCAGCACAACCACCCCCCAGCACGACCACCCCCCCAGCACGACCACACCCCAGCACGACCACCCCCCAGCACGACCACACCCCAGCACGACCACTCCCCAGCACGACCACACCGCCTTGGTTGAGTGGTTGCCTGTCGTCGTGGAATGTTTCGTGGGGTGTCTCGTGGAATGTTTCGCGGGGTGTCTCCTGGAATGTTTCGTGAGGTGTCTCGCGGAATGTTTCGTGAGGTGTCTCGTGGGATGTTTCGTGAGGTGTCTCGTGGGATGTTTCGTGAGGTGTTGCCCCGTTGGGTATCGTGAAAACGTGCCCATGCTCCACATGTCTATATCCCTTTCCGGGTTCGTGGGTCCATCATGTTGCACACTGACCCCGCCGATCATGTGGCAAATCCTATATGTTTTTGGACCCTGACCCCGCCGATCTGCGTGAGGGGTGCCACCAAATGTCAGAAATGTGGCACATCTTTTGCGTTTTTGGACCCTGACCCCGCCGATCTGCGTGAGTGGTGCCAATTTTTACCCACCCCAGCGATTCAGACAACACCTCAGGGCGTGGTAGAAATGCCCGTTTTGGGCCTCCCCCCTCGCGCGGTCCATCAACAAGGAACAGTGAGCAGCAAGAAGCAGAGTTGTAACAAGGAACAGTAAGAAGCAAGAAACATAACTGTAACAGTGGAAACTGGAAGCTGCAACTGGTACAGGAAACTGCGAAGCTTCGGCCTACAGCCTGGTGGCCCCACAAGGGGGCCGGCGGATTTCTTCTGCTTATTTTTGACGCACGGAAAAGTCTTCCGCGCTGGCGCGAGGGAATTCTTCTGGGACAGGCAAGTGGGCCTGAATTTTCGTCCCGCCGGGAGTACAGTATTCGCTACGGGTACGTCTGATCCGCATGTGCGAAGCGTGACATGTGCGTCATCTTGATCCCATCGCATACATCAGCACACGCACACGTGAATCTTGAATTTAAGTATATACGCACATGCGCATTCTTCGAACTTTTATATGCACATGTTATCCAGCGTGGACCCCAACCAGTGATGGATCGTTACCTATGCGGTGCAATCTAGATGGTACAATCAATGCGGTTCAAGTTAGGTGTTGAAACCCATGTGGTGCAGTCTGTGTGGTGCGAAGCAGTGCCATGCAACGCAATGTACAGACGTGCTCAGCAATGCACAGCAATGCAACGCAGTGCAATGCGAATCAATGCAAAACAGTGCAAAGCAATGCAAAGCAGTGCAACGCAATGTGAAGCAATACGAAGCACTGCAGCGCAACGCGAACCAACGCAGCGCAATGCAACGCAATGAACCGCAACGCAGTGCACCGCAATACAACGCAACGCGCAGCAATGCACAGACATGCGAACCAATGCACAACAATGCAACCCACTGTAAAGCAACGCTGAGCAAGGCAGAGCAATGCAAAACCATGTCATGTGATGCAGAGCAGTGCGTCGCAATGCGTCGCAGTGCAACGAACTGCAGAGCCGTTCACAGCAGTGCGAGTCAGTGTAATGCGATGCGAAGCAGCGCAAAGCAAAGCAATGGGAAGCAATGCAAGGCAACGCAATGCTGCGTAATGTAATGCGAGTGCAGTGCAATGCCACGCGATTGCAACACGGTGCGATTCTCTTGCGACGGGGGGGTGGGTGCCACGGGGCGGCGGCGACTGGCAGGATCGGGCACGCCGTGGCCGCCAGTGGGAGCTTGATCTGGAAACTCGTGAGGCCACAGACGGGAGCGTGGCAGCCCGGTCCGCCAGCGGGCACAGCTCGCAGGCACTGATTGGGGAATGTCGGTACACGTGAACCGTATACAGGTTTTATGTATGTGTATGTGCCAGAAAGAGAGAGAGAGAGAGAGAGAGAGAGAGAGAGAGAGAGAGAGCCAGGTAATGAGAGCGAGAGAGGGGGGGAGAGAAGGAGAGAGAGAGAGAGAGAGAGAGAGAAAGAGGCGCATTGCGTCTCACAGATTCTTGGACGCATCAAGTGGGGTGAGCCAAATTCAGTCAGCGGATCTTCGACACTGCCAGGTGTTGGGGTCATCTCGCGAAACCAGCTTCCCACATGTTGGGCCGATTCACCTTCTTCGATCATCCGGGCCATGCCAGGCTGTCCAAAGCCGACGTGAGGGAAGGGATGCGGATTCTCTTGAGCGGTGACACGCGCGATAGTATGTATAAGAAGTCAATCCGCTTATCTGCTTGAACCCCGTTCAGGACAGAACGTTTGGTGCTTCCGCTCAGACCTCAGTGCTCGCGTGGTTTCTCGTTTTGCGCTTCTGCATCTGGGTATCAATGTAATGCTCACTGCTTTGGGGTCAGCTTTTGATTTATCTTCGCAGCAGATGCGCCTCCGAGATGTAAGCTAGTCGTGTTGCTTTTCAAAACGATGTATGGCTTGGGATTCGCACAGGGGAGGAAAGGGAGAGTAGAAAGTGGAGAGTCGGATGAGGATCATAACTTTGGAGACGGAGGGGGGGGCATGCGACTCAGCCCAGGGCAGAAGGGGATCACATGAGTTGTTTGGGGTCGATGCTTAGCGCTTCGCGTGTCCCCACTGGCCAATCCATAAGCAGTTCTGAGGCCAGCTGCTGGAATCATAATAAGAAAAACCACGTGTGTATGAGCAGTCGTCAAACCCAGCGAGAGGGCACCAGTCGAGCTGGAGAAGGGATCAGCCCTAGAAGCTCTCCCAACCTTTCCAACTTGTGGGCTTTCTGGAAGCCCTCTTTGGGCTCTCCCGGGGCCTTTTTAAGGGCCTTCCTTTGGGACACTTGGGTCAAACTTGGACATCTGTGTCCATTGGGAGTTCTCTGGGGCCTCCTTTTGAGCACACAGGGTGGACTCCTTGGGTCCTCGCGGGACTCTCATCTGGTGATCTTGCGTTTCCTTGAGGCCCTCTTGGAGGCTACTCTGGGCCTCCCCTGGGGACCCTCCTTCGGCGTCGTGGCGATATCTTGAGGCCTCACTGGCGATGTCTGGAGAGCTCACTGGCTCAAGCGGCCCGCCTCCCTCGGCCCCACACCTCCGCCCCCGCCGAGCAGTTGCGCGCCGCACACCCGGCGGCCTCTTGGTCGGGGCAGGGAGGACCGGTCGGAGGAGCAGCTGCCGTCGAAGAAAAAACGCTGTAAGCATGAACTCTTGGCGCTCCGCGCGGATCTCTTGGATCCGCTCCCCGGCGGCACCTCCGGCGCCGCCTCTGGCGCGCGGAGTTCAGCGCAGGCCCAAGCTCTCCGCGCGGAGCGCCCAGAGCTCGTGTCTACGGCGTGCTCTCTTCTTCCACGCCCGAGGCTTGCTGGGCATCCGAGCGGGCGGAAGGCGCAGGCGGGGGCGCGGAGGGCGCTGGAGCTCCGAGAGCGGGCCCGCGCCCCGGGCCCGAGCGGGGCGCCCGTGGGTCCGCGAGAGGTGTGCGCCGGTGGGCCTGCGCAATGAGGAAGGTCGGGGCTCTCAGGGGCGACGATGGGGGCGAACAGCCAAGGGAGAGCCATACATGTACCCAGTATACCCAGAGATCCAACGTCTTGAAAAGATCAAGGCGGAGGTTTTTTTGCAAGCTTCGGCACCTATAGGGGCCCTCGCCGGGCCTCGGGGCCGTCAAAAAACGACCCAGGGTGAAGAACCGGTCCTGGGGGATGGGTCGAGACTTCTGGGGACCCCGTATGGAAAAAATCAAGACATCGGATCTCTGGGTATTTAGGTGCAACGATGATCTATGTTGTCGAAGAGGCTCCCAGGCGAATGCGTGTAATGCCCGCCCCTGGGCTATTCGCCCTTCTCAAGAGACGGGGGTCAATGCAAAGGGGGGTTCAGTCCGAGCGCCGGACCTTGCAGAATCCTGGGTCGCACTGACCCGGGCTTGGGTGCAGGGGTTTGCAGGATCTTACAGGATCCTGCAAGGCCCGGCTGACCCGGGTTTGGCTTGGCCCATGTCGGCACCTCCTTGAGAAGGTGGTGCAGCTAAACAGGGACACGCGGTACGCGCCCTGCTGGAGGTGCGCCCCTTCCTTGCTCGAGGACGACGCCGTCGGGGGCTTGGTCCGCCAGCGCAGTGCGGGCAGCAATGCACCCGCAGGGCGCAGCAGCGACAAGGCCCCTTTTCAGGCAAAATGCGCGCTCGTGCTGGCCGTTGCTGGACAGGGCTTGGACTGGCATAGGTCCTGGCTCTTGTCCGAGGAGGAGTACCAGAAGTTCAAGAACAGGCTGTTCACACGCATGGACAGTAACAACACGGCCGGTGTGAGCGACAACTTCATCTCCCGGGCCGAATTCGATGCATGGTGCATTGGGCATCAGAGCGAAATCCAGCAGGCACCGACCCGCTTCCACGGACTGCTCCACGAAGACGTGAGGGAAAGGACGTTCGATAAGTTCGATATGGACGAGAACCAGGTGTTGTCCAGGGACGAGTTCGACACATTCATTTGCAACCTTGACCGGGAGTACATCAAGTTTCTCCTACGGTCTGAGCAAATAGGTTTTCGTGCCTACTGGGGTCGAGGGTTGTCCACTGTGGATTTTTCAGTCCAGAGTCGCGATGACGCAATACACATGCTGAAGCGCCTGATGCATGGCAGTGCGGGGACGGCGGATGTGGACAGAGAGCTGGCGCCACCACCCTCAGAGTACGTGCAGGTCAGGGAGAAAGAGTACGAGAGTGCCGACTCTCCAGCCTTCAATCACACGTTCATCTTCGGCCGTGACGAGGATGCACCTCTGAAGTTCGGATTGTTTGCCCCTGGCTGGTGGGAGGACTTCAAATACTACGCCGCGAACAACCACTCTCTGTTCGGCATCTTCGTGTGCGACAGGTACCACCCGCTGGACTGGAAAGAGCGGCTCATGATGGAGGTAAGCTCGTTCTTCTACAGCTGGCTCGCGCTCGGGGCCTTCGTCCACGTCGCGTGCCGCGAGAGCACCGGCGCCAGTTTCGCGCACCATCACGTCACGTGCTTCAGGGCCGTTCATCACCACGCGCAGACTCAGGGAGATCTTCTTGACAAGTTCCTGTTTTCCGCTTTCAACCTGGTGCCGGGGATGCTCTGGTGGCAGCTCCTCTTCCACCTCTACGCGGCGCCCTGCGCCAACGTTCATGAGGCGCAGATGGCGGTTGCCGATGTTTACCAGAAGAGGTATCTACGGCGGGCGAGCGAGCTGTGCGCGCACATTCTTGTTTTGATCACCTGTTGTTTGCCCGTGTGCTACGGTGTGTTGGCTTCCACAGACGCGGATGATGCCATGCAGGTTTTGAACCGTGACGTCTCCCGTCTGGACCGTGTTCTCCCGCATTTGGCCGTAACCATGTTCATTTGTTGGGGGCGCGTCCAGGCGTGGACTTTAAGGTTGCTTGCAATGTTCTTGATACCCTTCAACCCACTTGTAACACTAGGGAATCCGAGTGCCGTATCCAAGCGTACAGGGCTGGACAGGTTAGAGTTTCTTGCCGTAGGGAAGTGGAGATTGCAAAAGTTGAGATTCAAGTACCAGTGCTTTCACGGTCTCCGAGCACTGGAGAATGAGCAGGGAACATTTTTTCCCCTCACCCCAAGGCCATCCTGATCATCGTGAGGAGAGTGCATGGCGAACCAAAAAGAAGACAACCCACACGATGTTGATCAATTTTTGTCGGAGTTAGTGTCTGTCTCTCGGGGACATCCTTGGGAAGTTCCGTGGCCGCCTCGAGCCTCCTTGGGGCCGTCTGGGGCGTGTTGGAGGCAGCTTGGGGGCCCATCTCTGGCCAACCCGGACCATCCTGCACGATCCTGGGGGCCACCTTGGGGGCCATCTTGGGCCCACTCTGGACGCTCTCGCTCCTCGCAGGATCCAGAACCCCCACCTTGGAGGGGCTTCCCCTGCGTACACCTAGCGGACTCGCTACCCTCCCGGTGACAGAGCCGTGGCACCGGGGCGCCCGCCGCGGCAGGCCTCGGACACCGGTGCGAGGCAGAGGCGAGGCAGAGGCGAGGCAGGGCGAGGCGGTGCGGGCCTCCAAAGGGTGGCGCCCGGCGGGCCACGGTGGCCCAGGGCGGGCTCCAGCATGACTCCGAGATGCCTCAAGGAGACCCCGTGCATCGAAGAAGAAGGGACCACAGAGACATAAACTTTTGGCGCTCCGCGCGGACTTCGTCCGCGCCTGGGCCCCCCCTGGCGGCGCCTCTGGCGCCGACCCTGGCGCCGCCCCTGGCGCGCTCCGCGCGCCAGTGCAAGAAATCCGCTTGGAGCGCCAAAAGTTTCTGTTTCTGTTTTTGTTCCTCTCACCCCTGGGACGCCTCTGGGGATGCCCTCGAGAGGCCAGCGCAAGCGATGACCCACAGGTGCCCCAGGCGATGCTTGCGCCAGGGGGTTCTCGCTCGGTGTTGCCCTGCAGCGCTCGGGCGGGTTGCCCCGACGTTCGCCACGCCGGAGCCCGTGCCCGCTCGAAGGGCGCCTCGTGGGCGCCCCTTGCGCTAGGCGGGTTCCCCGAGGTTTCGCTAGCCTTGGCGCCCCCGCGTGGGCGCCTCGCGGGCGCACCGTAGTTGAGCCGAGTTTTCCCCGACATCTCGCTGCCGCTCGCGGGCGCCTCGTGGGCGCCCCGTGCGCTGCGCGGGTTTCCCGAGGCTTCGCCGCCTTGGCGCCCGCGTGCTCGCTCGAAGGGGGCCCCGTGGTCGCCCCGTGCGCTTGCACTGCACAGCTCGTGCATCATGGCTTGCACCGCACAGCTTGCAGCACGTGCCCTGCAACGCTTTGCTCACAGCACAGCTTGCGCCACAGAGTTTTTGCACCGTAGCTTACGCCTCATCGATCGTACTGCGCAGCCTTCACCACACGGCTCTCACACCACACATACTGCACCACACGTATTACACATAATCGATTGCACAGTTTTTTTGACTACACAGTATAGCTCTCACCGCATAGCTTGCACAGCGCACGTAGCGTCCGCCACATAGTTTATTCGCATCAGGTACCTTTCACCACATCGTTTACACAACGTAGTTTGTACCACATCACACCAATCAAATCGGACTGACGTCCTCTGAACATGGCTACTGCTTCATCCCTCTTTTCGGTCCCTCTGGGCCCCCATGCTGATTCAATCGAAATCCTCTGAGCCAGGGGCCTGCTCGCTTTCCATTGAGCTTTCTTTGAATCATTCAAGTCCTACAGGAATTCTTTGAGCCTGGGGTCTTCTCTTTTGACTTCCTAATTGATGCGTGTTCTAATACATTTGAATCCTCTGATTCTCGGGCCTGCTCCAATCCTATTGAATGCTGTGCTGCTCCTTTTCGATTCCAGTGAGGTGTCTCCAAGTCTGAGGTATGCGCTACTCAGATCGAATTCTTGACGCTTCGCGTATCACCGCCAGCGTCCGTAGCCCCCCCCCCTGGCTCAAGCCATTTCCCGGGGGGGGGCTCCTCCCCCAGGGTCGGGGCTCGAGGTGGCCAGCGCGGCCTGGGCAGCGCGGCTGGGCCGCGCGCCTCCGCCGCCGCCGCCGCCGCCTTGGCATGGGTGACCGTCCCGAGACGCCCGCGGCGCGGCGGCGGCGGCAGGCGCGGAGGGCGATGGCCCGCCGGCTGGGGGCCGCTGCCGCCGGCCTCGGCTCCTCCGGCGCGGCTGGGGCCGCCTGCGCTGCGGGCGCCGCGCGCGCCGCCGGCGCCGCCGCTCCTGCAAGGAGCGGCGCCAGCGCCGCTGGGGCCGCCTGCGCCGCGGGCGCTGCGCGCGCCAGCGCCCGCTGTCGGGGGCGCCGCTGGCGCCGTGAGCGCGCGGGCGCCGCGGGCACCGCCGCTCCGCTGGCGCTGCGGACGCCGCGGGCGCCGCCGGCGCCGCTGGCGCGGGTGGCGCTGCTGCCGCTGCTGGGGTTGCTGGCGGCGCGGCCGGCGCCGGCGCGGCCGGCGCCGCCGCCGCGGCCGCCGCTGCTGGGGCTCCCCCCGCTGCGGCCGCCGCTGCCCCTCGGGCGGCCGCGGCGGCCGCCTGCGGCGCCGCCGCCGCCGCCGGCGAGGCCGCGGCCGCCGCGGGCCTCTGGGAGGCCGTGGCGGCCCTGGCCCGCGCTGCCGGCCTCGCCGCCGGGGCTGCCGGCTGCGGCGCCGTGGCCGCGGCGGCGGCTGCCGCGGCCGGCCGCGCGGCGACTGCGGCGCCGGCCGCGCCTGCGGGCCCTGGGGCGCGGGGCGGTGCCTGCGGCCTGCGCCGCCGCGCCCGCCCCCACGGCCGCCGGCGGCGCGGCCGCTGGCGCGGTGGCGGCGGCGGCCGCCGCCGCGGCCCTCGGCGACCCGCCACGGCGACTGCAGCAGCGGCGGCAGCTGCAGCAGCAGCTGCAGCAGCAACAGCAGCAGCACCTGCGGCAGCAGCCGCAGCAGCAGCAGCAGCAGCAGCAGCAGCAGCAGCACCAACAGCAGCAGCAGCAGCGGCAGCCGCAGGGACCCACAACAGTGCCCGAGCCATCTTCACGACCCCAGCTGCCTGGTTGAGACAGGAGGCGCGACCCTGGAGGACAAAGAGAAGGAGAAGGAGGATGCGGCGGAAGGGGCGGAAGCTGCGGAGGCCGCGGAAGATTGGGGGCTTGAAGAGGCGGAGGCCACAGAAGGTGCGGAAGAGGCGCAAGCCGTCAGCCGTGCCCCTGTAGCAGAATCGGGTAGACAGAGGAGTTTGCTTCCGAAAGTGCGGACGGCAGCCGCAACAGTCCGCGAAGCGAGATCCTGGACCAGCAGGGGCTCGCCTGCCGCAGCGTGCCATCCCCACCTTCTCCACAAAATAGGCAGACCGTCATCGCTGCTGCTCCCCACTCCTATCAGCGCCGTCGGGACAGTGTCGATGTGGAGACAGATGATGCGACCCGAGCCCCGCCCCCTCCTGAAGACGGCACCGCGGCAATGGGTGAGGGTGCTGCAATGGGCGTGCCAGCGCTCAGAGACGTTCCTCGCGAGTCAGACGCTCAGGAACCTGCGTCCGAAAGCGCGGCTGTCAGCTTCAGCAGCCCCCTGGGAGCGCGTCAGGAAGGGAACGGAACGGCACCCCCGCTCTCTGACGCCCTTCCGGGCACCCCTGGCGGCCAGCAGACTTGGCAAGAAGACGCAGGAGAAGAGAGATCTTCAAGAACTCTTGCGGCCGTCAGCGGCGACGCTGGCGGACAGAGACCCGCGACAGCTCAGGCGGCCGTCAGCCGCAGCCCTGCTGGCGAGGGCCCCGCGAGACCTCAAGGCCGCCCTCCGACGGTCAGAAGGAGGTGCCCTTGCTCCCTCTGCAGCAGCAGCAGCGGCAGCAGCAGCAACGGCTGCAGCAGCGGCAGCCACAGATACCCACAACAGCTCAGACAGCCGTCTGCCGCAACCCTGGTGACGAGGGACCCGCGACACCTCGAGGCACCCTCTCTGACGATCAGAAGGAGGCGCCCCTGCCCCCTGGCGGCCTTCCGGCCACCCCTGGAAGTCAGCAGAACCCGCAAGAAGACAAAGGGTCCGTCAGGCCAGAAGGGAGCGGAACGGGTCAGAATAAGGTGCCCTTGCTCCCTGATCCCTGGTCTCCGAGACCACGAGGCACTCTTGCATCTCAGTGCCCGAGCCGTCTTCGCGACTCCAGCGTGCCATCCCCGCCTTCTCCGCGCAATGGGCAGACCGTCAGCAGTCTTCTGGGGGCGCCGCAGACCCAACGTGGGGGCCACGGGCCAGCCGTTCAGACGCAGGACATCGAAGCCATCCGCCAGCTCGTCGGGAGAACCCCCCCCGCGCCTATCCGCCCTCCTTCCCCTGCCAGTGAACCCGCCCGAATGGGCGGCGAGCCTTTGGCGCTCCCTCCAGACGCCCAGGGCGCGCCTGAGAAAGAAGTTTGTGCTCTGGCAATGGAAACGGCGTCGCCGTACGTGCACGCAGCTGGCGCGACCGGCGGCGCCCCCGCGCCCGGCGAGAGCCTCGCGGCGACCGAAGGGGGCGCGCCCGTGAGCGACGGCGGGTACAGGCCCGATGGCGTACGCCAGCGGAAGGGGCCTGTCCCCGCACACCTCAGGGCAGCGTCCGCCCGGGCTGCCGGAGGCGATCCGGCCCCTGCCTGGCGGCCAACTATGCGGCCCGCGCCAGCCCGCAGGGCCCCGCCAGGCGTGCAACCGGAACTGTCGCAAATAGATTCCGAGCCCTCCGTCCAGGACAGCGGGGCTGGTTCGCCGGAGACTTGCGGCCAGAACACGCGGCAGCGCCAATTGCTAGAGCCGCGCCAATGGCCAGAGCCCCTAGACCCCGACACGGGACAGCAGCTGTACAAAGCGAGGATCGGCAGCATCCAGTGGGGCCTTCCCGGGGAGACACCCGGCGAGGCGATTAGGCGGCTCCAAGTCGCCCTGGGGGCAATGTTCACGGGCGCCCGGCACGCTTTCGCCGCGCAGCAGGCCGCGCCTGACAGCAAAGGCGCGCTCGACCCGCTACGGCGCGACCCGCAAACTTGCCTTCGCTTCCTGGATTCTTTCCGCGGCCACAAGAGCGACGTACGGGCCGTTGGCGACGCGCTTGGCCTCGGCGTCGATTGGGCTCAGCTGCGGCATCGGCGCCCGGGTCGAAGCGGCGGCGCGGGCAGGGGTCGCCGGGCGCCCGCGCGCC